AACTGCCCTCAACACAACACAACAACTGAAAACTCTCTCTCAAAAAAAATAAAATGGACAACAAAAAAATGAAAAAACGCTGACCGAAAAATGTGTATCGTTTAAAACTATACTGAATGACATCTCGGGGGTATGACTTCCTCACATTTTTGTCATTTGGTGGCGCACTTTCGGCGAGAGTCGGAAATCCGGAAACAGTCGACCGTTTCAGGATAGGTGGGCGTGGCTACAACACGAGAAATATCCCAAATTTACTTGGATACGAGTAATCATTTTCAGCAAAAAAATCAATAACTGCCCATTTCAGTGGGACACAGATCTAAAATGGGAAACGTGAGGGTGGGCATTGCACAGGCACTTTAAATAAAGTATTCTACAGTACACTGTATTAACACACCTTATGGAAGTGCAGCCACCCACCCGCCCCGCCATTTTCAGAGCAAAATTTGATAAAGTGACAATTTTTTTAGGGCAATACACTAAACACCATGACATTTATTAATCTTTCAGCCACCAGACTTTCTCAGGCCAGACTCAAATTTTTCTGCATCGTTTCCTTATATTCTTCAATATTTCTGGAAATGAATTCTAATTTTCAGTTTTTACTCAAACAAATTTGGCTATTTTTGTCCCAGTCTTCTGAGGAAAGTGCAGACTGTAAACAGAACTATACTGTAGAATACTTTATTTTCGCTTGGAATTTAATTTTCGCTGAAGGGATGATTCCGTGAAAATAAAATCCTGCGAATACATCTTTTTTCCTATATTTCACATTCAACTCATCAAAAATCAGTGAAAATAAATTCTATATAAAAAGCCTTTTCAGCGAAAATTAATTCCAGTGAAAATAAAGTGTTCCACAATATTTTGTAAATTTGCGATGAAAATAGGGAACTGGTGGTAAAATGGTTAAGGCAATTGCCTTTTAATGCTGATATGAAGTTGAAGCTGTATTTGCACTCGTGTTTCAAATATCTGAACGTTCTAGATCAATCCAGGAGTCCTTTGATGAGGAAAACAGTTTGCTTTTGATTAGATAGTAATCACAGGGTTTTATGTTAAATTTTAAACTCGCTTGTCCGAAATGTATGTCACTGGATTTGTTTACTGTATTAATCTGTTGAGGCAATTGTGTTACTATTCAGTTGCCAAAATGACAATTTTCCTCATCACATGCTATGCACCAATTCTAATTTTACAAAAACAAATTTTTGGTGAAAATCCCTCAGAACACAGAAATTTTCAAATACCTTAGAATTTCAGTTCCCCTTGACAACTTCTAAAATATTGTCACGCATTTCATTTATTTTATTTTATTTTCAGGGCTTGAAATATATTTAATAGGCCACTGAACTTTTTTTTTATAACTACTGTAAAATGACTAATTTTCACTGGGTTTAAATTTCACTGATTTACCATTTCAGGCATATTCAGTGGGTTTTAAATTCACGGTTTCGTCATTTAGATAATGTGTTCTATGCTAAATTTTACATATTCACTGGGTTTTAATTTAGCGCATTTTCCAGTCAGCGAAATAAAAACCCAGTGAATAATTTCCCCCTTTACAGTATTATAAGTGATTACCTATTAAGATTGTATATTAAATATAGTTATTTGTTATTCTTGAAATACAAAGTTAATTTAGTCATTTTTGATTAGCCAGT